CCGATGCTATGCTACTCGAATAAAAGATTCTTTAAGGTAAACAATGCCTCAAAGTTCTTTGAAGAGTTTCATCTGTTGGAACCAGGACAGCAACTGTGGTCTACCTCTATCGCAGTGCATTAGCTACCTTCATGCTCTCCAAAATAGCCCCACAGTCCTTTTTTAACGTTCTGCTCGGGTGCTTGATGGCCTGGTTAACGCCACGCCGAATGTCCCCCATGCGAACCGCCATCTGCGCGACTCCGGCCAGACAAGCCTCATCGTGTTCTTGGAACTGTCAATCAAGAGAGAGAGAGAGATACGCGTAAAATTGCAACAAAGCAAAAAAAAGCACCGTTAAAAAAAACCAGACAAAATTTGACCAGATATTGTTGACATCAGATGAAAAACTGATTAAGGAGCTCTATAAATATATGTTAAGTTTAAAGATGGAAGAGGAACAAGTTAAAGAAACAATGATAATGACTTCTGGTTTGCCGACGTAGCCACCATGGATGTCTGGAAGACGAGCTCTGTCTTCCACGTCCAGTTTCGCTTCGCTGGGGGACCCTGGAATGATAACATGGGCAAAGAATTTTGGGCGTAACATAGAACTAGAAAACTGGCAAAACCTTTGGGGAAAAAACTCTAAAATAACAAAGGCAGTGGTGTAGAAAGAAAACCTATGCAAAATGTTTTACAGACGGCACTTAAGACCGGCGAGGTTAGCCAAAATGTTTAAAAATATGTCTAGCAACTGTTGGAAATGTAGACAAAAACTAGGCACATGCTATCATCTTTGGCGGACATGCCCTAAAGCCAAAAGATTTTGGTCAAGAATACGTATATGGTTAGAGAAAATGAGTAAAATAACATATAGATTTTTAAGCTAGAATGATTTTTGTTAGGTATAATTGTAGGAAATTATGAGAAAGAATGTATGTATTTAATATTACATGTATTAGCTGCAGCGAGAATTGTATTCGCTCAACATTGGAAAAATGCAGAATTACCAACAGAGGAAGAGTTAATAAAAAAAAATTCTATATTGTGCAGAAATGGACAGGTTGACATTGAAAATGAAAGAGAAAGAAGACTCAGTATACTTTAGAACATGGGATACTTTTTATCAATGGCTAGAAAAATGAGGTAGAGAGAAAGGAACTTAATATGTATTAGTAACATGTCTGGAATCCAGACATATTAAGGACTTGTGACTTACAACTGTGGTTGTAAGTTAAGGACTACTTTATTAAAAAGTTTAGCACTTATTCTGTTCAGAATTATATATTCTATTTCACCTATTAAAAAGTACATTTGTTCACACTGTATGTAAATAATATCAAGTCTGAAATACACCGACTAAAGAAAGACTATTTTGTTTCCCACGGAAAGAGGCCTCAACAAAACAATTATTGTAAAAATGGGTAAAAAACAGTTATACGAAGTACCGTTGAATCTACATAAGAACAAACTAATTTTCTTTGGCAAATGGTGATATGGAGATTTAAGTAAAATAAATAAATAAATCAGGAATTCGTAAGATTTGATGCATTTGCAAATATCTAACGTGGTTTGCTTTAATATTCACAGCTCAGTTGACCAGTAGCTTTTCTAATATTTCCAAGGCACAATCAGTTTTTAAATGATTTGAGATCTTAAACCATAAAAGTAATATAACTAGACATGGGAATATCCACCCTGAAATCATCATCAAGAGTGTTGTTACCTTCTTGTTGCTTGTGATTCCTTTTTCGTAATGGGCCAAAGCATTCACATAATCACCCCTAAAATGAAAAGTCGGCAATATTTAGAATATTTAGAATGCACAGAGATGGACAGATTGACTATGAGATTGAAAGAAAAAGAAGAAACGGACTATTATCAAACCTAGGATTTATTTTACCATTGGCTGGAGGAAAGAAGAAAGGATTAGGAATTAAATATGTATTAGCATGTAAACTCAGACGGCACATTGGTTGAAAAATTACTAATGTATGTATGGAAAAAAATGAATTAAAAAAAAAATTTAGAATCTTGTCAAATATTACAAAATGAAGAAGATGTTTAAAGAGGGTCCAGAGGGAGCGTTTTGAAAGCCCCTGGCGATAGCAATAAAACTTGGAAAGTGGTGTTTATGTTAATGTGGTGTTTGTGTAGATTGTGGCTTGAAGTAGGAAGGATGTAACAGACCAAACTATGGACTATTGCATCACATATAAATGTACATCCCTCTCTCTTTTTGGTATAATGCAGGGGTACCCAACCCCTAACCCACAGTCCACCACTGGTCCTGGTCCACACTAACCTGTTCGGAGCTGGGCCGTGTGGGAGGCGGGCCAGCGCACATGCACAGCTCCACTCGCGTGAGTGATGGACCGGCTCACACACGCACGTGTTCTGCTCACACGGCCTGCTCCCCTCTTCTCCCCCCCCAAGCTGGGCCACCAAGCTGCAACGGTTGGGGATCGCTGGTATAACGGAGACATATTAAAGGAGCCGGATGTCTGAATACAGCCTCAGCATATCTTCCTGGCATTAGCGATCGTTATGCACACACGAGATGTGGTAGTCACCACCAACGAGGCCTCTGGCTTCCAATGGGATCAATTGGTGGAAATTTTGAGGCTCAATGGCTGTTAGCCTCGATGGCAGAGACCGACAGTGAAAAGTCATCTGCTGGGAGACCGGTGTGCTTCCTTGTGCTGTTGCTTAGCCGTTTTGAGAACAGACTCTAGATGAAACGGGCCAGGGATCCGGTCCAGTCTCTAAGATAGCGGTCCCCAACCTTTCGGGCACCAGGGACCGGTTCTGTGGAGGGAGGTTTTCCCGCGGACCGGAGGGGGTGTGGTTTTGCACACTGCCCACGGATGGGGCTTGGCTTGTTTGCGCGGCCTGCTTCCCGGCATGCCGTGGACCAGTGCTGGTCCACAAACCAGGGGTTGGGGACCCTGCTCTAAGAAATAGCCCATTTGCAAGAATCGAGAATTGTCTCAGCTTTGACGGCAGAAAGATATTAAACGAATGAGAAAGACCTTCTAATTCGAGGCTCTTTAGAATGGATGCTCAGGGTTAATTTCAACCATTTGACTCTTCACATTTGTATTTATCAAATATTTTTAGCCACTTGAGAGAGAACATACGTGAATTCCAGCTGCACAGCATACTCCTTGGATATGAAGGGGATCTGATCCGGGGCCAAACGTTTAGCTAGCTGAAGCGCGCTATCCCACTGCAGCAAATCTCTTCTCATCTAATAGCACAAACAGTACAGGTTTTAACAAATTACAACTACTTTTCCCAAAGCAATGCAGTGTATATATTTTTTTTAAAAGGGGGGGGAAGCCCCACCCCCAGTGAAATATCAAGTGGTTTAAGCTTTTACCTCAAGCGCAGCGGTGGGAGAAGAAGATGCCAAGTATAAATCCTGAGCTACATTAAAGTTTTTGGTGAACATGGCCAGATGTCCCGCTAAAAGATTGTGCTCTTCTATGCTCTGAAAAAGAAGACGTGGGCAGCGCTCAAATTTTATCAAAAATTATCTAAAATAAACATAGCTCTATCATTATATAGAAGTAAAAAAAAACCCTGATGAAATAGAGAAACAAATATCTTGTGTGCGAGATAGGTGGCATGGGAAGGAAAGGGAAGGGGCGTAGAGTAGAGTAGAGTAGAGTAGAGTAGAGTAGAGTAGAGTAGAGTAGAGTAGAGTAGAGTAGAGTAGAGTAGAGTAGAGTAGAGTAGAGTAGAGTAGAGTAGACTCGACTCAAAGGTAATTTTTCAAAAGGCACCTGGTTTGTTTTTTCTTTGATAAAGATGTGTCACCTCATCCAAGAAGCTTCATTGATTCTGGCAGGATGGTGGGGGCTAGAACCGAGAAAGCTTTTTGGATGAGAAGCAAAATGTTTTCTTCTTCTTCCTGCTCCTCAAGGAAAAAACAGTCCAGTTGCCTTTTGAAAAATCACCTTTAAGGCAGCTATGGCCTGGAGGTCTGAGAATCGAGGAGAGGAGAGGGGATGGGAGACGGGACAGGAGAGGGGAGGGGAGACAGGAGGAGAGGAGACAGGAGAGAAGAGGGGAGGAGAGGAGAGGGGACAGGAGGGGAGAGGAGACGGGACGGGAGAGGAGAGGAGAGACGAGANGGGGGGAGGAGGGGAGGGGAGAGGAGAGGAGAGGAATCTCTGGCTTGAGTATAAACTGAGGAAATGTGCTGGATGAAAATAAGAATCTGTATCTGATGCAGGTATAATGCAATGAAAATCCGATATATACAGGGAATCCTCAGATTTAGAGACTCAGCATTTTGAGAAGATTTGAGCTTTAGTAGATGGATGTTATTTTCAACATGTCTCCATTCTATAATTATTTTTATTGCTAAATTATCTCCTAATGATGTTTTTTCAAAACTTTTTAAAAAAATCTTTACGCTTGGGCTAGGCAGTAGATTAGCACCATCACGTTACCCTACCATTTATGAATTAAAAAACAAAAACAAAACAGAATTGTAATACTTAACCCCAGAAGACCGTACCTTGATTTGCTCCAATGACATAACCATTCCAACGTTTTGGTTGGTCCTGTACACCCGTATCGCAAAGTCCACTTCCATGTGATGAAGGCAAGCCTCGCCGAGCTCGTTCCAACCCGACGGTTGGTTCAGACATTTGCATATCTCCCAAGCTTCTGAAAACCTAGGTCGGGTACAACGTAAAAAAAAAATAACCGTGGTGCTGAGCCTGCCCTTCACGTGTTTGAAAATATCCCACACCGTATTCAAGGGAGGACTCACCTTTTCAAAAGTAAAGTCTGAGTTAGCATTTGCTTCAATTCATCGCAGCCCCGGTCTTTCAGCATGCCCAGGAAGGTGTGAGTATTAAGCAGAATATTGTTGGTTTTCCCGCTGTGAGTCTGACAGGTTAATTCTCCGTTGTATAAGAGCAAAGGTTTGTGGGAATAGGGAACTTTGGTCGTTCCTGCCAAGACCACCTTAGAGCCTGTGAGAGAAAATTAAAAATTAAATGTTCGTGTAAGACAGGGGTCTTCAAACGTGGCCCTTTGATGATTTGTGGACTTCAACTCCCAGAATTCCTCAGCAAGCCTCCATTTTGTTTGTTAGAATTAAGATAGGGGGTCTTCAAACTTGGCCCTTTGATGACTTGTGGACTTCAACTCCCAGAATTCCTCAGCCAGCCTCCATTTTGTTTGTTAGATTTAAGACAGGGGTCTAACTCCCAGAATTCCTCAGCCAGGCAGGCTGCCTGAGGAATTCTGGGGGTTGAAGTCCACTAGTCATCAAAGGGCCAAGTTTGAAGACCCCTGATGTAAGATGACATTGGCACTAAAGGACTATATTCCTAAGAAAAAGGGCATAATTTTCAGTTTCTTACAACTAGTCTTTGCAAAACTCTATGGTAAACACACACACACACGTACACACCATGTACATGTTCCTTAGTGCCTAACAATCAGTCAGGAATGAAAACCACCTATGCGGAAATGCTGCTCTATTGCTCGATATTATATAGCCACAAGTCCATTCGTGGTTGTTTATAAACCATGATTTATAATAATGTGTAAACCTAGCGCCGTGGTTTAGCACTGGGGGGGGCAATTAATTTTCCAAGGGGTCGTAGGAGAAACTAGGACTGTTTTGAGGGCAGCTGAAGTTCCCTTGACACCACCACCCCATCGCCGTTGTGAGCTGGAAAGTCAAAACGCCAGGCCGTTAAATGCCCTGCTCTGGTTTAACATAATGTGTGAATCATCCTAAGACAGGGGTAGGCAACCTTGGCTCTTTTATGACTCGTGGACTTCAACTCCCAGAATTCCTGAGCCAGCCATACTGAGGGGAAAGGGAGAGGTTTCCATGCTGAGCCATGCTGACTCAGGAATTCTGGGAGTTGAAGTCCACAAGTCATAAAAGAGCTAAAGTTGCCTACCCTTGTCCTAAGAGGTGACAATGCTCACCAAAGGCATTATGGGATTGATTTGGACTCTTTTCTTATAACAAGTTTTATTAGTTTTCCAATTTAACATCCGAGTATTTAGAAAGCATCGTGGTGACTGGGTAATCAATAATTCAGTAACAAAATGTTTAGTACGTATCTCAGGTTACATTATCAAAAAATTCCTTCTCTATTTCCCTTAACATTTAATACAACATACTTAAACTAATAAATTCCTAACCATAACAAGCTCAGTTAAAGCATTTATCAATCTATTTTTACTTATACACATCCATGTCCTGTTTTTACATTTTACCTAATTCTTAGTACAGTATTCCAATTTAACCTTTAACATCCATAATATTCAAATTTTGGTAACCCAAATTTATTT